ACGTTGGAGGTATGGGAACCATAGTGACTCTCCTTCATCATGTGCTGCTAGGGCATCAGGAAAGCCCGGGCCAGCGTGGGTGGAGTCCATGCCAGGCCCCACCAACGGACAGTGGCAGCTCATGGATGTCACCGGAGTGGGAAAGAGCAGCGGCATGTGGTCCAAAGCATCTCAAGTTCACCCAGTAGAAGCTGCAGTCCTCTTGCCACCGAGGTAGCGTGGCAACCTATTCCTTGGCTGCTCAAGGCTGGGTGACCTGCAAGGAAAGCATGCACAGAAGCTTGTCTCAGAGGCACGTGGTTGAATTTAGGTAAGGTCTGTCCCAAATCAGAAATGATCAAAGCCATCCCGTTCTGTACTGTACCTTTGCAATGTCGATGCTGCGACCAAAGAAAGAGGCTGCTCAAACAAAAGAACTTGCTAAAATTGACTGTGTACATAATTTGAGAAGATGTCAAGAAAAACTTAACTTCAGAAACTCCCTTGTTGGCTTTCCGTATGCAAAGTTCAAGTACAGGCTATCAGTCAAGGATTTCATTGAAAACTTGCATGTTCTGCCCTTCAGCACGATATGCTCCTGTTTTTAATTAAAAATAGTAAGAACTATTCATAGTGCGTAATTTTAGCAAGGCTGTTTCCCCACTGCCTGGAAATGAGCTTGGTGCCTGGTGGCAGAGTTTGGGTACAAGTTTTCCACTGCAGAGAGAACTGGACCTAATAGGCTATTAAAAGGAAAAGGGTAGAGGTCTTGATTTTATTGGCAGGTCTTATAGGCACAAGCCGTAGAAGCATGTGGGAATATTAAGATTAAGTATTGGATAATGAAAATTCTTGTTCATTAATTTGAATCTCCTGGGCTGCAGCCCTGTGTGTGTTTTGATAGAAAAATGCTGGGAGAATCGTAGGTCAAAACATGCGTGACATTGCACCCTTACTTAGGTGTAATTTTGTGAAAACAGATACATGCCCACACATGCATATATAGTGGGCATTCTGTTTTTATGGGCATGATAATCAAAATCAGTAAGCTCTGAATGCAGTTTATGACTGCTTGGAATAAAGGAGCTACAACTCAATTTGCAAATTGCAGAGATATTTTTTTAAAAAATGAAGTAACTGCTCAGAATGCCATTTTTAGATATTCCACATTTCCCTGGTTTTTTTTTCTTTTGTGAAGCAAAATGACCAATTGTAAAACAACATCTGTTAGTAATAATTAGTAATGAAACGATGTATTTGTTCTAGAGGACATTCCAAGTAAATGAACTTCTAAAACACCTGGCATATAAAAGCTTTAAAATAGCATTCATAGATTTCTTATTGTTAACAGAAACCAAATGTTCATTTCAGAAGTGGAGCTTAAGCAGTACTCATATAGTAGAGAGTATATGACATTGTGCATAGTACATAACATATAGAATTAATTGGATATGTGAAATTTTCACCAAGGAAATGTCAGCTCATACATCAGCTGGATTTGTGTTAAAGGTTGCCATGGGCTTCTCACAAGCTTAATGAGGACAGAACTCCATTTTAGTAACAGGCAGTGAGCTAAAAATAACTTATTAGGAATATGCTGTCCCATTAAGTTCCCTAAAGAAAAATGAGCCAAATTTGCTTGAACAATGGTCATTTATGTTAATGATCCCAAATTATATTTCCATTTTAAATGGAAAGAAATGCATAACATTATGTAAAAATTAGAAAAATAAAAAGCACTTAACTGAAACGAAGTTGGGTGCAGAAGAAAGTTTTGTATTATTGTTTAGCTGACTTAGGTGCCTGGATGCTTGTTCACTGCTGTACTGCCCTTATTCTCAGGTGTTTCCAGAAGAGCATTCCATGGCTCTGTTCACTAAAAGACCAGTCCTGAGAAGCCGTCTTGCCCAGGGCCAGGTGTACGAAGGTCAGGCTGCAACTCTCTTGTGCTTGGCAGAACCTCTTTCTCACCTTTGGTCCTGGTCAGGAAGCACCTGAGCCAGAATCAGGTTGTCTCTGTGATGCTAGCAGTGTGCATGCGCGAAGTGTGTGATTCTTTGCACTAAGCATGCAAGCCACATATGTGGAAGCAGAACCTGTGGGTGGTGTGTGCACAAGCCAACCTTACAGACCCTTGAACTCACCTCCTGTCGGACATCCATGCAAGGGCTGAAAGAAAGCAGGCCAGGATCTGGGGAGCCAAGCCCAGGAAATATGACAGATTTGCACCCCCAAAGCAGATTCCTCACACATCTCTACCTGGGGAGGTGCAGGCTGCTCAGACCCCTTATCTTCAAGAGGTGCCCAGGTGCAGTTGGCTCTTCCATGAGTGTGTGGGACCAGCTAGCTCTGCAGAGACCCTGAAGGCTGGGCCTCCCCGGAGTTCGCTGGCATCATTCACTTGTGGAGGAAAAAACCCACTGCTGAGCAAAGAATTCCCATTTCCAGGAAGGAGAGTCGCTTCAGCAGCCCTGTCTGTCAAGCATCTTCCTCTCCAGAAGCAACCCGCTTGCGTGGCCACCTTGTTAGGTTCCCCTGCCTTGGACTTCAGACTCCCTTTCAGTCTCGGTCTAGGCAAGAAACCCCAGGATCTTTCCTTTACCTGTGCAAATAGGGTTCATCCCAGTTTTATTTATTATGTTTATACCCCACCTTTTCCCTGCAAGGAACCCATAATCCGCCTCTGTCACTCCATCTTATACCCACAACAAGCCAGTGAGGGACACCGAGCTGAGAATCAGTGACTGGCCCCAAATGAGCAGCTGAGCTTTATGGCCAGCTGCATCACTCTTGGTTGCCACGGCTGAGATCAAGTGGAAGATCTTAAGGAAGGAGGGACTTTTTTGAATTGAAACTCTTCTGCCAGGGTGATCCAGCTGTATGGATCACGCTTTGTGCTAATTTATCTCTCGTGGGGTGGTACCAGCCAGAACACTGGCCAGGCTCATTGACTGCTATGGGGCCAAGCAGGACGTGCTGAGTGGCATCCAGGGGTGACAGTGGTACAGGCCATGCAGGCGGCCGCTGGTGGCAAGCTCGAGGACCAGAGTGCCGGGGAGGGGACAGGCTGCCCTTTATTGTATTGTGCTGAGCACCGCATGGATGACCATCTCCCAAGCACACCAAGATCTCCTGGCAGCCATGTTTTTTCCCAGTAAAGCTGAAGTTGCTGACCCGCAGAGGCAAAGGCCAGTAGACAGCAGTATGTTGAGACCCCCAGGCACCAATTAAAGCCCCTGCACTTAGCACTTTTAAGGGTGTGTCTGAACCAAAAAGTGAAATGGCTTGTATTCCTGGATGAGTGATTGAGGATCTCCTGGCTGCTGGAACTCAGTCTTCCAACTTCCCTCTGATTCTGGGGCTGTAATCCCAAGATAACTGATAATATGAACTGGCTGTCGAGTCATATTTTCTTTTATGGTGTGTTTCCAGCTTTGATGTACAGCTGTCAGTTGCTTACTGCTCGTGGTGCATTGTTTTCCTTAATTTTGCGGGGGAACAGTTAAGGACACATTTGCTCAGCCCTGGAGATCAATCAGTTCTTGTCAGTTGGCTACATGTTCCATGAAACCCTGACTTCTGTTTTCGCCTTTGCTGTTATTTATTACTTACAGTGGAATGCACTTATTTCTGGTTTAGCCTCGTTAAAACACAGAACTACTGTAGTCGTTCTCTGGTGTTTAGGAGAGCCAAAGAGAAGAAGCATTTAGTTAATCGTTCACATGTATCGAAATCTAACACTGTTTAAGGTTTGGTGAATCATTGTATTTGTATGAAACCTGCTGATGGAAGTGTTCCTTTAATAATGCTTTAGAAATTCTTCACCATTAGTTTATTTATTTATTTATTTATTTATTAAAACATTTTTATGCCGCCCCATTCGCCGAAGCCTCGGGGCGGCTTACAACATAGATAAAACAAGTTAAAATCCATATAAAATAATCTTAATTAAAACTCACAT